CAACTAAATTAATTCGGGCTGCAGAAAATAGTATGATTGAAGTCTTTGGTGCTCGAGCAATGATGCTTCAAGTAAGAGTTTCAAATCAACCAGCCTTACATTTATATGAAAAAACAATTGGATTTACGTTTGTTTTATTATTCCTTTAATGATAGTTTGAGTTTGTTAAAAGTAAAACCAAGTCTTATTTTCTTTCTAGTGTAACTAAAGTTTCAAAACATTATTATCTTGATGGAGAAGATGCATTAATTTTGACACATAATTTTACATTAGATACTTTAATTAATAAGGATTGCTCTTCTGTAGTTGTAGATGAATGGAAAAGAGTTATGCAAGAACAGGAAAATAAACAAAAAGAATAACAACCAACAAGTGCTAATTGATTGAATTATATGAAAAATATCTATCATTCATTTTCATTAATAAAACAATATAACGATTAAAGTTGATATTATAATACAACAGCTTCAATACCAACAATTCCTTGTAATACCAAGTCATCTCTTCATTACTAACTATCATACCACTAAAAATTTATTCATATTAGTTTATAAAAACATATCAATTATGTATTTCTTAACAATGGTATTCATCTTTTAGACTACGTCTATAATGAAACACAGTATTTAAATAATGTGAATTGAAATAACCTTGTTATGGAGGTTCTTAATCCCATTATTAATACTCCTCATATATTTATATTAAGTAAAATATTTTTTTTTGAAAGAGCATTGATATGAAATTATTGATATGTAAAATAGAGTCAACTTTTTTATCTTTTTAGAAAATCAGTTACCGCTTCTTTATGTTTCTTAATTTTTAATGTTTCTCTTTGAGTTTTTATTCCATTTAGAAGTTTTTGAATTAAGTGGTTATTTCAAAGTTGTTATAGTTAAAAGAATAACACTAACTCTTATTATTTATGAAATGATAACATATGATTCTCCTTATAGCATAACACAAAGAATTATAACTAAGAATATTCTCATACACAGCTGATTTTTTATACAAGAACAAATAAAAACTCAACAATTATGATTTATTCGATATTTAGTATTTAAGTATTTGAGAAGTGAGTATTGAATTTTCGTCATTTTGTTTTTATTCTTTTAATTTGTTTTCTTATTTATTCAACTCATTGGTTATTCATTTCAGTTGTTATTTGTTATTTTGATTTTATCTGTATTATTTATCATCATTCTTTCTTATTTTATGTTAAATATCTCATATCAAATCTCATCATTCACTTATCAACTTCTTTTCTTGTTATTATACACATATTCAACTCAAAACCATCATTAACAATTACTTTCACATTCATAAACAACACTACAACCATAATAAATCACAATAAACAAAGAATGAAGAATGGAAATAATGTACTAACTATAATTTCATGACTTGAATAGAAATAATGAAACAATTATTTTAATTATTTTATTTTTGTTTGTATTTCTAGTGCGTCATCTTCAACCTGTTTCTTGAATCTTGAATTTACTAATTTAGTAAATAGAGTATAAAGACTTATTGATTTAATTGTAGAATTAATAAAATAAAATTTATTTCTTGGAATAGTAAAACAAAGAGAAACTTCACTAATTAGTTTAATAATATCATACCAGTGTTTTTTTAGTTATTAACATAAGCTACACATGTCTATATTTTATTGCTAATCAAGTTAATCACGAAACTAGAAGATGAGTCTAAAATTTAAAAAGAATAAATTTACTGTTTCATCAAATTTCAATGGAACAATATACTTTTTATAATTAAGAAAATAAGTTTTGCTTGTAAGATGCTTTTAGAAACAAAAGTGGTATTATAAATTAGATTAATACAATAGCAAAGAAATGTTTTAAATGAATAATAATAAAATATAGAATGGAGTAATAAAGAATTAAAGAGTAATAGTATAGTATTAGAAGAAAAACAGAAATAGTCTAGAAAAGCAATAAATTGAAAAGGTTAATAGTCTGTAAGTTTGGATAAAACATAATAATTAGGAATTAAATAATTAAGAAAGAAAATTCAAATAATAGAATGGTAAAAAAAAATATTAATTAATAATTTAATCAATTAATTAATGAATTAATCCACAGTTCCAAATTGTTGCATAGCAAGTGTATAATAAAATCCTTTCAAATCTAATAACTCTTGATGTGTTCCTCTTTCTGCAATTCTTCCTCTCATAATAACACATATTTGATCTGCATTTTGAATAGTTGATAATCTATGTGCAATTACAATTGTTGTTCTTCCTTTTGCTGCTTTGTCAAGTGCATCTTGTACAATCTTTTCACTTTCTGAATCAAGTGCTGATGTAGCTTCATCGAGTAATAACACTTTTGGATTTCTAATCAATGCACGTGCAATAGCAATTCTTTGTTTT